CAAAACATCCAACAAAGCATGAAATTCGTCCAACAAATTAATCGGAATGTGTAAACTTGCCTTAAACTAATCAGTAATCTCTACCAATGTCATCCGATGTTGTAAAACACCATGTGAAACCTGGTCTCTTAAGTATTTTTTGACTCAGTTACATATAATTTGAGCGTAATTCCTGAGATTATACAAATCATTGATCACATATTGTTATAGCTTATACGAGATGTCACAGCATTATTAATATGCACTTACTGTTTTTAGTGGTCCAATTTATAAACTTGTTACCACAAACCTGGGAGGAGAGAGAAGGTTTGCAGCTGCTGTTGCTAAGCGGTTGCAATCATTAGGTACAGTACAACATACATGTATTTATATTTGTGGATAGACACCTCACCTGTTTTTGTATTTCTTCACCTTAAAACACTCTGGTTAAAATGCTTGTTAGACTTCCTGGTTAACCTATTAATAACCCTACCTTATTTGGGTCCTGGTCAAATTATATAACTAGGTAAAAGGTTAAAATAACCAGCAATATTAAATTAACCCAGATAGTGTTATTTCTAGTGTTACAATATAAGTTTTTTCCGACTATGCAGGTGCTCTTACCAAGGGAGATCGTCGGGCTGCAACAGGGGCAGATCTTTCTCAATTCAACTTTGACACACCTTATGGAAGAAACGCCTTGAGACAGATGTATTCCGCAATTTGTGAGGTGTGTGTATACCGCTGTATTTACTTGTTATGTAACACATTGTCTTGTACAACACGATTCATGTTGATGAAAACGTTCGTATTCTTAATATGTGTAAGACATTGGTGAGAAAAATGAGTTAAAAGTTTATGTAAATCATCAGGAATTTGTATGGACTCTAGAATACTGTATACGGTACAAACTCCCACACGGTAATGATTTCCTCGTGTTGTATTCTCTTCACGAATTAATGAGAATTACAATTATTTCTTGTAAGTAGATTTGTATTTCAAGACCATAATATTGGACGAAACCCAGGGTCTATCTCATATTACAAAAGGAAACAAAGAATTTCTACAGGCAGGGATGGATTCACTGAGGGGACAACCCCCTTAGACTTGGCAAAAAGGGGCCAATTTCATTATCAAATCCATTTTTTTTCAATTTTGAAAGGCAATATCCTGTCACCATTACCACAATACTGCACCTGAACCCTTTCAGGGGCAATGTTTGGCCTATTCTACAGAACAATGCTGTGCATAGCTCCAAATAATTATGAACTCCCAGCCCGAATCGTGACTATTTGTTGATGGGCCTTACCCTACCAAGATTCGCTGGATCCATTCCTACTTTCTTTCCCTACCCTTTTAAAGATTTGTAATTGGTCAGTTACAATATGTAATGGTAATAATGTACAATGTTACATATATTTATTTTAAAATAGTAGAACTAAATCTCGTTTTTTCCTGGTTTTTCAGAGTCGTCTTTTTCCAGGCGTTGCTTTGTCTGCAGTTCTTACTTTAGCCAATGCAAGTAAAGAATACGACCTTGATGAATTTATCCAAATTATGCAGGTTTGTGTAATATGTTTAATTTACACCCTGTCACCCGATATGTAGCAAGTACAGTACTTCAATGTTGTGAAGGTCCTTCACGGATATTAGTAGCGTGGAGTCGGGAAAACACTTGTGCTTTTATAGTGCAAAAACAAAAGCAGTCACATGAAAAACACACGACTTGGAGACCACAGAATATAGCCGAATCAACAGTCAACAGCTATATAATCTTAACTTCGTTCTTTAATTTCTTGTGAATTACCTGATAATGGCTATATATCATCTATAATTGTACGCCCCAATTATTCTACAGTATAGATAAAATTTCCAAAGTCAATATATTGCGTAACGTGCCAAAATTCTCACCCCTGCTCTAGAACTGTTTGATGTCGATAGGTGTACTTATTGATGCGAGTATGGTAGCATCAGGAGTCAAGGACAAGGAAGCTGGGGATGTGAGCAGATTTTTAAACAGAATACTTGGTTTGAGTGTCGAGAAACAAAACTTGGTAATGTAATCAAAGTATTCACATTACGATGAATCAATTAGCAAATTTAAAAGTAAATGAACAACACTTTTCTTTTTGCAGATTTTCAATTATTTTTGTGAATGTTTGCATGCTGTGATAGAAGCTGCTAAACGGGAGGGCAAGTAAGCTATAACCCTCCATTTTGTTTACTATTTTATTCTTTAGCATATTTGGAACTACTGTATGAATTACTATATATTGCACTCTATAAGGTATTGATAAAGAAGGTGCTGCACCATTTATCATGATTGGTTCAGATTCTGTTTTTAAAACTTTTTCATAGATGATTGTCCCAAACATAATGTAACGGTTTTCCATATGCATTAAAATTAATGTTCTTATACAGTACTATACTTTCACTATACTTTTTTATACCCCTTGTTAAAGTATTCTGCTAGTTTATCTTCCATATTCGAAAGTATTCTTGTGGGTTGCCATACACGGGCCTGATGTACCTACATGTATACATACAAGTATATGAACAGGTTTTTATGATTGCGTGGTTGATGAAGAATGAATTTTTTATAGAGTCATGCACAACCACTGATCACTTTTATCACAGAGAAGAGATATACAGAGAGGAAACACGCGGCAAATTGTGTCACGCCGATATATTCAGTCTATTAACTATAGAAAATTATATTAATTCACTATTTTATTAAATTTTGACCATGCAGAGGAAAAAAACTATACATATTATAGAAGTATTCATGTTTTTTTATGCAAGAGTTATATTTTGAGGAATTTATATCATGAAAAAAACTATACATATTATAGAAGTATTCATGTTTTTTTATGCAAGAGTTATATTTTGAGGAATTTATATCATGAAAAAAACTATACATATTATAGAAGTATTCATGTTTTTTATACACGAGCATCTGAAATTCCCAGCCAGTGCTTTTCGCGATTTTAATAAGGAGTAGATAGGGAAAAAAACAAACTTTTGCAAAATAAAATGTTATGTTAACACTTTTAATAAAAGGAAATCAATAAAAGTGATCGCTTACCATTATTCTACAATAATTTATTGAACAAAACTTCCATGGGTATCTCATTTTTAAAAAAAAAAACATTTTCACCTTTCGAACGGCGTTTTCCCTATCTTTTGCTATGAAATTTCAGCGACGGCACTGGCTGGAAGATTTTGTGTGGCGCGTGGAACGCGTGACACAAACATTGAGGTTATCGAGTGTCAGTTTCCTCTCTGTATATCTCTTCTCTGTGCTTTTATTGTTAAAAGGCTACCATAAAACGGGCCGTAGGTTCGATTCCTGCCAGAGGGCGTATATATCCGTTTTAAAATTTATGTTTTTCAAATTAATCTATTTGCAGGGATTGGTCACCTTTTTTCTATTTTATAGATATAATCAAGGTGTGACCGACATCCAGGCTACCTCGATAAAAATCATTGGTGAACCTCAAGAAGTCTTTACGGAAATACGACGTGGAACAGTAGGAACTAAGTACGTACAGTACTGTATATATGCATAGCAAAATTTTTTCAATGTCAAACGACCGGTATCTTTGCCCAAATTCTTTCTGATAATGTAGGCCGTGGTGGTAAAGTAGGCCTTTGCAGAATGTTAAAAATACAGGGTGTATAAAAAAACTACACAGTTCTAAAATGTCCACTAAACTGAAAATGTAAAAAATATGAATTCAAATTGCGTTTTTAAACCTTACATTTTCGTGCGCATGTCATTTTTAAAGTGGTTTTGGAAAACAGCCCTGCTGCACTCAGAAATTTACTTTTCAGAATAATTTACTGATAGAGATATCAGAAGACCCCAAATTGTGACTAGATATCTGTGGATGACGATATCTGTTGTCTATGTTGTCAATTTTTGTACTATGCATGTCACGTCACAACAGGGGTCACGCAATATTTTTATCAGGACAACCACTAATCATTTTGCACTCAAAACTATACTTTGTCTGCACTTCGAAATATCAAGATCACTCAAAACCTTTAAAACATCTACCAATCAATATTTGGTCAGCAACGAATACTTTTATATGGTTAATCCCTGTTGTGACGTCACCAAAACTACCGTTAATGAGATCAAAAATGTATCCAAGATGGCGGACATCTCATTACTTCAAGTGAAAATATTTCAAGAACTAAGCAAGATATGAAAAATCGGTAAAAGAAGTTAATATATAGTTTCAAAAGTTATTTCAAATGAGAAAATGAAACTTTATATTGCCATTTCCCTTTAACATTGTAAATTTGCCGAGATCAAGACGACTTTTTAAGGATACTGTAAGTATCAAAAGTTGCGTTAAATTTGTCTCTGAAATAATTACTTTTTTCCATTGTTTTCTGTCATGTTTAATTTAACAATTCCATTCTAATTCAATTGAAGTCAAATCACGTGTTAAATGGTTTCTGAATATTGTAATCGGAACTCGACTGGCAATAAGCTACTGTAATAATGATATTAGTAAGATATACTTGGAATCATGCACACAAGTATGTGTAGTACGTTTGTTTCTGAGTCGACCTAGACTTCATTTGAACATCGCACGTTAGTATTTTAAAAGAATCTTTACCAGTGATTGTATCAACACCTCGCTCTCTCAACACTAACAGGGCAATTTTATTTTTTCTTTGTTTCAATAGGCACGTTAAGCTTTTAACTGATCGTGGTGTTTCATGGGAAATGGCGTTAAATCGCAAAGAACAGTCAAAAGGAAAGATGGACGGATTTTATTGTTCAAAAAAGGAACAGAAAGGAATACGACTTTATCTTTTAGCAATTCAGAAGGAATCTTCCACCCATTTATTTACTATAACAAGGTAAGTTATAAACGCTCTGCAAACCATTTCGATGTGATCTGATTAATCAACAGCTCCCGCGTTCTTTTTATTATTATGCCCCCTTTCTATTTTTGTCCTTGCATGGGTAGTTGTAGGAAAATTCAATATATTAAGAAACGTTTGTGGCTTAAAGAGGGCCCTTATGTGCTGAAATCCGGTCTCACTGATATTGCTAATCCGTTCCTGACTTCAGTTGATCCTAAGGTTTTTGTTGCTTCATGTTTCTAGACCAAATACAGGAATCTCGCCATTTGAAGAGGAGAAAAGTAATCTACTCAACAAGTATATTTGCATTCCTAGTAAAGATGCAGGTACTTATTCTTGATTGTTTTCGACTCGCTGGCAGCATGCAGTCAGCATTTGCGCTGCCATCGTGAAAAACGTTTAATATATAAGTGTTTATGTTCATTAACTTTGGCTTCAACGTCCGTATCTACCTCCAAGCTCTTGTTCTATTCTATTCTATCAATAAGCTTATTTCGCGTGTGTGAATAGTGCCACAGAGGAACATAGGAAGTACATACAGAGATCTCACTTCAGGTTAATTTCGCGTAAGGGATTTTTCAGTCCGCCATGTTCTTAGCAAGTGCCCTAAAGAGAGGCAGTCACCCCCCTGAAAACATATTGAAAATTTAATATTTCAGGGGGGTGAATGCCTCTCTTTAGGGCACTTGCTAAGAACATGGCCGCCAGCTATTTCGGTAAAAAAGCGCCTTACGGTTTTGTAATGGAAGTTACACTTCTGTATGTCTTTATTCTGTGATAGTGCTTTTACTTTGGCTCGATCAAACACTTGCAGATGTTGTATTGACATTGGACCACTGATCCGAAACTATCACTGGATAGTGCATTCGCTATGCCTAAATGAAGTAAATGGCGGCCTTATTGGTGTGGCCACCACAAATCTACTGTCGGTGGTGTTGGTGATATAGTAGAAGAGGTTCTTGCAGTTTCTGCTTATCCGTGGGAAAGGATAAACATTGTCTGAATAGAAATGTGTCAACAATGGCCTCATTTCCCTTTGAAATTTGGCCGTAAATAACTAATGAGGTCACACCATGCAAGATGACTGCCACGTCTCATCAACATGATCTCTTCTCAAAATTAAGGCTATGTCTTAATTGTAAAACTTTTGAAAATTAAGGATATGGCTTAATTTTGGAATTCTCCAAAAAAAAGTCTTAATTTGAACGCTTTTTACAATTAAGACATAGCCTTAATTTTCGGAAGAGATCGAGCTGGTCTCATCTAGTCGTCAGAAGAGATGTGGAAGCTACTGTACATTTGCTTGATAATGTAGCTGATTCAAACACGTGTCGCGATCCGATTTGCAGAGATTTTGGCAGACGTTAAAATCTCATCTCATCATAAATATTCTGGCTTCAAAATCGGCTGATTGAATTCAAAAGGATACTCACGCAGTCCTAGTTTTCGATTCAGTGCACTGGACCAATTATATAGGATCGCCCTTACTGGTCTGAATCTTTAGGGAGAGTAATTTAGAACTGGTGGAGCTCTCAAGTATATAGATAAAGTTAGTTTAGTTTACAGTAGTACGTTTATTTACCTGCCTGAAAATAACCTTTCGTGGTAACTGTTGGTGCATGTAGGTGTCGATATAACTTAAACCAATGTGTAAAACGTCGCTGTTTCTCCAATGATACCACGATAGAAGATCTTTTATTAATGACTGAATATTATTTTCCTAATGTAGAGGCTGGTTGGAAAGTGCAGTATGAACGAACGTTAGATCGCTGTATTCATGGGATCGGTTGTAAACGGAGCAAGACGTGTAGAGGTTGGTTTAATTCGTTCACGTATTATACTTTTCAGTATGGTGTAACTTGACGTCATTGACTGCTTGCTGTCAGGGCAAAATAACCGTAAAAATTTCTTGTCACGAATGAAATTGTTTGGCCACACGTAAGTATCGGAAATGAACAATGTATGTTCGTTTTGCAGCGAACTTTGTTATTTTATATTTTGAAAATTGTTGAGCAAACTGCATATTGGACCCATAGAAATAATAGATATCTATTATTTCTTGATGACGTTTCCTTGCGGTACGTGGTTACAACTACCAGAATGCTTTGCAAGGATTTGCTATCTTTTTCTAATAAAATTCTCGCCAGGCATTCTGGTAGTAGTTACCTTGGGTTTAGAGGTTTTCTGGTGCCAGGTGGGTTTTAGGAGGCGTGCTTGCCAATGTTATATTGCTGTACTTGGAAGAGGAAAATGTAATATTTTCTCTGGGAAGATTTCGATTGAACTGGCGCACCGGGTGTCTATTTTGGAGACAATGTATCTCGAAACTATTGATGACAATCGGCAGACCCGTCTATTCTAAGCAGTTTCAAGTTGCAAGTTCAAAATACAAGCAGCAGTCGAGTACATATTTTAACACTTGTGAAATAAGTAATGATAGTTATTGAATTAGTACTTTTAAGTTTGATACTGAACTTTATCTGTATTGGAATTTACATTATGTGTATTTATATAAATTTATAATATACTGTATGTAACCCAAATACCTTGCCTCGCATCTGATGCGAATACCGCAAGAAAACGTCATGCATGCATATGGTCTAGAATGCAGTTTGGTGATTACAAATGATGTCCTCCATGACGAGGACGCATAAAGATCACGTGCCACTCCCCTTATTGTATGATTGTACTGTAGCCCATGTGTATTCAAAACTTTATTTTACAGTATTAACTCGCTATCTTTTTCCTTTTCAGTTGGCTGTCGCACAACAGAAATTCATCTTCTTTGTGGTGGAATTATCCCGCTGCTGTCATTGTTAGAAACAACTGTTGCTCGAAGGGCAAACTCGCTTGAATTGAGGTAAGCTTTGTCATGTTTTTTTAATGTTCAATGTTGTACATTGTTACCTATTTTCGCAGTTGTTCCGGTAAGCTCGTGTTGGAGAGGTTGATTTTAAAACAATTTGTTCAATTACTCTCTGTAGACCACAATGCATTGCGATTTGAAGATGCTGTCGTTGTTGATAAAAATCCAATCTATATATAAATATTTTGTTCAAATTATTTTGTACTTTGGCAACCTCGTAATCAGCACCTCCAATTTTCCTACCTCATGTAGTACGCTTTGGAGGTCAGAATCTGCTTTTTTTCTGATGACTTCCAAGATATACATTCGTATGTTCTGATTTTTACAGCAAAGAACTTCGTTCATTGCGTGTGGTGCGTGTTGAATTGGACAATGGTCACCACTTGGTTGGTTTACGTTATCCAGAACCTTTGATTACTGAAGTGTCGGAGTTAATCAGACAGCAAAAACTGAATGCATATGCGGTTTGTATATATTTTTTAGTTCCAAAACGTTTGGAAACTACTATACAACTATATACAGGGTGTATCAAAAAAAGCGCAATCCTCGACTGAAATGTAAATTGCTAAACAAATAATAGACGAAAACGTTAAAGTTTACATTCATTT